AGTGTTGCAAAAAAAAATGGTGGCCACGTTTGTCTCCAAAACTGGTCATGTTACGACTATTCCTCTTGAAGGACAAAGAACGGTTAATGCAGAATGGTATGCTAGCATTTGTTTACCACAGGTCATTTCTGAACTCCGTAAAGAGAACTGCAACCACCGCATCATCTTCCATTACGACAATGCGAGTTCTCACACCGCACACAGAACAAAAGAGTTTTTAGAGCAAGAAAACGTAGAATTATTAGACCATCCGCCGTACAGCCCCGACCTAAGCCCTAATGCTTTCTATACTTTCCCTAAAATAAAGAATAAATTGCGTGGACAGAGATTTTCATCACCTGAAGAAGCTGTGGACGCCTACAAAACGGCCATTTTGGAGAACCCAACTTCCGAATGGAATGGTTGCTTCAATGATTGGTTCCATCGTATGGAAAAATGTGTCAAATTTCGCGGAGAATACTTCGAAAAGCAATAAATACATTTTTAATTAGTAATGTTGTGTCACTTCCTTGGTTCCCGAAATTTTCATTGTCGCCTCGTACATACAGTCTCTAAATGAAATAGCCATGCCATGTAGTATGCATGAACTCTTCACCCTAAATTCTTTAAATAATTGTGAAAACCAAGCAAAAATTCAGCAACCAGTTTTCATGGGAAATACGAATAAAGAACTTTCTGTTTGTTCAAAATGTGACGTTACTGACTTGCTTTTACAAAACGTTAATTTTGCAAAAAAAAAACAATAGGTAAAATATTAAGAAAAATAAATAGATTGCAATAACAATAAGGCCGCCTTCAGCATAATGCTATAACAAAGATACCGTAGCGCTGAAATTCTGTCGAAGCCACATATTAAGTCGATTCGCGAACAATCGTTGGACATAATTTAGGACCTATTTTATAACTTATAACCACTAAGTACTTAAGCAAAGTTAACTTTTGGTTTCATTTCTTACTAATAATATTATATAAAATTAATACATACATTATTATCGTTATAATAGTAATATTATACTATAATGCAACTAATTAATTATGTTTTATGAACGGAAAATGTGTATTATAATCTTCATTCTATTATTCCTCGAATCAACAGAATCCAGAATTTTTAGTAAACTATACTATAATGACCATCTTGACCGTCTTCTTAACTACTTTGTCATTAAATGTTGTTCTTTATACCGCATTTTAAAGTGTGGCTTGGATATAATTACGCGAAGAAGTGGTGGAAAATTATTCCAACTTTCAGTTACCAAATACGAAAGCTTATTTTCTATGGGAATTAACAAAAATACCTATCGTCACGCCTGCTATTCCCAAGGAGGTAGTCAGAGCAAAAAGAGCAAGCAAGTTACTCGAACTAAGTTTAGCCAAAACATATGAGTTTATATGGCAAATTGTGAAAGCAAGTGACAGTAGGTGGCTCTAACCCACACTGCTCAAACACAGGTACACTTTCTTTTTCCTCACTCTCATGGAACGGTGGGAAAGACCGACACGACCGGAAAGAGATCAGGTGCAGAACTATAGTTCGGCCGTTCAGAGAATGCGTTCCTGACATCTATCAGTTAGTCACGACTAGTGATGGGCACAACATAACACTGAGTTCGTTACCGTTCCCCCAAAATGAACTGCCGCGTTATTTTTAAGATTATTTTCGTTTCAAATTGGCGGAATCATTTAAAATTTATATTTTAGTAATTTAAGTGGAAACCAAAAAAAAGGTAATATTAATATAATAAAATTGTTTTATTTATTCTTTATTACAAAGTTACAATCTGTATTTCTATGCAATAAAGTACATTGAATTGAATGTGCGTACAGAATATTAATCAGACTCCGATTCGCTTGAGGAGGTGGTGTCTTCATCATCATCTTCGCCTACATGTATAATTATATTATTATCAATAACAGAATCAATCCTGATATCTCGGTCAAAATGTTCCACGATCAGGTTTAAAAACCGTACGTAGAAGACTAAAGTCTTCTCAACAACCTTTGCCCAGTCATCTCTTGTAACTTCCCCGCAGGCTTCTTTTAATAGGGTCATCATATTTTTCGCGCTGAATGGCGGGAAAGTATTATGGCGAGCGGCGTAACCTTTTATTTGAGCCCAGATTAGCTCAATCGCGTTATATTGGCAATGATACGGTGGAATTCTTAGAACGCGATGACCGTACTCCAGAGCCAGTTCATCGATTTCGTATCGCACATTTGCCGCTTTATTTTCTTTAACTAATTTAATTAGGTCTGGTTTTAGCATCTGCATATTTGCGTCAATCCCTTTTGCTTGTAACCAAGCCACCATTTCTTCTTTTTTATTAGCTTGGGTAGGTGGTTTCTGTATTTGAACCGAGTGATAGGAGGCATTACCCATGAATATTACAGAAGGCTCTGGTAGGCTGGGCAGAAGGCTCTGGTTGGCTGGGTAAAAGCACGTTCTGGAACCACTCTTTAAATGTAGTGGCATTCATTTCATCGTAGTAGTCATTTGTGGTTTTTATTGATATGCCAGTAACGCGTTCTCCACAAAGCCGTATTTTGGACGTCGACGCTTGTGTATCATCCGTTCAAGAACGGGAAACCGTGTGATTGGCATTTAGCCATGTCTCGTCAATGAACACGACATTATCCCAGTTATCAATATTTTTTGCTTCTCTCAAAAAACTTATCCGTTTTAAAATTATGTCGTATCGTTCTAATAAAAATTTTCTTTTTTTTTTTATAGGAAAAACCCAATATCTTTTAAGATTTTGGTTAAAGCAGTTTTACCCCCGCTAAACAGTCCAGCTTCTCTTAACGATGCCAAAAGCTTCTTCCTGTTGAGATATTCATTTCTGGAATAGTAACCATATATATGATTTCTGATTGCATCGGCGTCAAAGGTGTCAATATCTGTCACGGGTTTAGTTCTACGTTTCTTCTTCGGTGTACGTAAAATATTATCTTCCGTGCCAGTAGAGCCGAACTTTTCTTTATTAATATTTGTTATTGTTCGTTTGCTAACTCCAAGCGCCTGAGAGATACGCGTTCTTGTACTTGTTCGACAGGGCAATTTTGCCGCTCCCGCTCAAAGTAATCTTGCAGCTTGATGATTAAGTCACGGGCTCCACTTTTCAATGTTTGTCCACGTTTAGGCATTATTACGCACCAAAAGTAAAAAGAACGCAATACAAAACACAATCCAAGTCCGATTTAGCGCCGATGTCAGTTTGAAAAGCAGAAACAGTCCATTAAACGACAACCGGATAATCAAATAAAAACAGATCGAAAACACCTAAATAACGTGGCCTATGCTCACGAAACGACAACAGACGACTGTTTTAGCGTCACAAAATGGTGGCCCATAACACCATTTGGGGTTACCATTTTCAACCTAAATATAAAAATGCTACTTACTTTCGCGCGTTCGGTTTGGTCGTAGTTTTATTTTTATATTTAATAAAAGTTATCTTATAGTCCATTATTTTCAAATTCTTAAAAAGAAAAACAAAACGTATTATTTTATAAAGTATAACTGCATAAGAACGGATTACGATACTGTTATTGCCTGTTATTGTTAGCACAGCACCACAAATATAAAGCGCTGACATAACCTTGTAATAGCGCAGTATAGATTTAGAAAAATATTGTTTGCCAAGTTATTTGACACTCAGTTTTGCACAAAATTATAACATTCATTGATTATTGATATAATAATGTTGTTTTAATGCTCATCAATTGTTAAAACGGTAAACAACCAGCAAAAATATTTTTATCGTAACTGCAACGCCATTACAAAGTTACGTCGTCAGTTCAATCGCGACGTTTCAATAACGCATTCCCTGAACGGCCGAACTATAACAGTTTTTCAAGGAGCGGGGGTGAAACACCGCCAACTTCTTAACTGTAGGGTGCTACTGAGAAATTTTTGACAGATAAACCCAAAACTGTTTTTGGTCCGATTTTAGTATTACTTATACAGGGTTATTTTTAAAAGAGTAGCCAAATTTTAAACTTAAGTACAAATATATAAATCTGGATTCTAAACTATGCCACCTACTGTAGACAAGCCTATAACCTTCGCGAAAGTGCAAGCAATATGTTGACAAAGTTTTACCGCAATATAATAAATATGGCAGCGTATAAAATACGAACAAACAAAATTTAATTTCTATATATTAGATGATATACCGTTATTGTAGTTTTTGAAAATACGAGTAAATAAGGCTTGCACTTTTATTTGAAATCATCCCAAACGTTTTTACCTACCGATCGACCCTTACGAATATGTGCGTGCGCAGCAAAATCAGTTAAAATAATGCATTACTTCAAGTTGTACACATCATCACATTTTGAATTAAAAAGATAAAAAGGACAGAATGTTTGAGATTTTATTAAATTAATTTTTCTTCACCATTTGCCTATATTAGTTATTCTGAACCTTCTCTGCAAATTTGGCAGGTTATTACAAAATAACCATGTATTATAATTATACCTGATCGGATTTTATACTTATTATACACATACAGCAATAGCGAATTAAATCAGAAGATTTGTGATGTGGAGCAACATTTGTCAGAATTGGATCGTGCGTAAATCGCGTATATCGATTGCAAGGTTTTAATTTCAAATCTAAATCTAATCGAAGTCTGTAAAAGTGTAATAGTTTGCTATTATTAGACTCCACGACCAACTACCTCAACCAAAAATTATATTTGCAACGTGGATAAAGGCAGTATAAGATACAGGTTATGACCATCGACTGAAAAAATACCAAAATATTTTTATTATCATCCTTACAGCCCTTAACAAGCCCACTGCTGTACATAAGCCTACCCCAAGGAAGGCCACGATACTCGGTTTTAGCCAGCTGCATCCATCGACTTCTTCAAGATATGTTTTACTAGGCAATTACTCCAATAAGTTGAAGACGTTCTGTAGCCCACTTACGGGTAAGAGGCTTCTACCTTAATTTGTAAAGCTTACACCACAATAAAATCACAATATTAAGTACTCACCTGGTGCAATTAAACTTAACCTTAATAGATTTAAATCAGCTGGATCGATTTCCGTTTCAGTATCGGAAACATTATATATTTTTCTTAATAACACATCTAAGTCTTCATCGTTGAACATTAAACAAAAAGGACAACTCATTATGCTGATTAATAACGACAAAACAAAGTAACAACCCATTTTGAAACCAACCCTAACATAGAAGTTAATGCGATAGGTTTTGTCTAAATGTAGACGTCTAATGATGAGAATTTGTTTTTATATAACGTGCATAGTTCTTTTAGGGTATGGTGTGTTTAATAGCGTAGTTGTGAAGCAATTTTACACATTTTACCCCATTATCTTAGCTTCTTTTCTTATCTTAGCTTATAATGCTTTTCTTTCTTTTTTTTTTAGAATAAGGTCAGCCTCACACTCGAAAATTCTCCTGTTGCTTGGATGAATACTCAGATCAAAAGCATTATTAATTGCGGACCATACTTTTTTGCCAATTTTGCCAGATTTTGCCATTTACGCCACGATTGACAGGTAAGTTGGCAACCGCGGTTGTTATCGGGAAGATGCTGCTGCCCATCTCCTTTTTCACACTCCTTCCTTCGCCTCTTACGACACCCATGGGATGATATGGGTTAACAGATATTATTACGCTGCCACTATTCAGCGTAGCGTATAAGTTGTCACTGTAGTCAAAATTGGAAAAAGAGAAGAAAGAAATCCCAACTCATCAGTACCTACACTGAAGTAACGAGACGGCAATAAAACTCTAAGGGATGACAATTGATGAGGTAGAAAGTGGGATAGCTTGCCAGCTTCAAAATTTTTTCCTAAAGGCAAGAGTGAATCGGGTTCCATGAATGTCGACCTACCACGTATACGAACCAAACTGTTTGCGTTGTTCCTAATATGCATACAGTAAAGGTGTGGAATTATTTACCAGCATCTGTCGCTCCATCCGTTTATAATGTGGTTGTCTTCAAAGCGAGAGTGAATCGGCTTTTGTTATGCTATGTCTTTTGTTAGGCTATTGTTACGCTTGACCATCTTTGGCTACATCCTCACTTACCATGAGGTGGGATAGCATTCAAGCACTGGCTTAATGATAATAGTTTTAAACCCATCAACCGGCATTAACCGGTTGGCGCAGAATAAAACGACTTTTACTTGATAAAATGTGGCTGTGATCATTCTTTGTAGGCTGTCAATGGATATCGATGGCGTATATCTACGCTTTATGACAGTCTTTGATGACACCTCAGCTGTGGAGTTGGTGTGATAGGTCGCAAAGGTTAATAAAAATTAATACAAATTTGTTGCTCATGCATTCTCTCACAACTTTTAACGCCTAAATAGGGGCCACAACCAAATAAGTGATAAGAACCGTTATTCCATTTACCTCACAGTGGTCGTTGCTTAAAAACTTTAAAATTTGAATATTTTGTTGTATGTAAATTTTGTGATGAGTATTCTAGTAAAATGCGTATAAACGATGCATTTAAGTATGACGTTTATAAGTTTATACTTAGAATTTATAATTCATTGCATACAAATATACATATATTAAATAATGGACCGAAATATTAGTCGGTAGATTGTAGTCCTGAAACCTATTTCCCGTAACAAGTGTCGAGCTAACATACTCTCCGATGGTAAAGCCAATTTAGTAGTACGAACAACGAGCAAAGAAGGCTTCAGATGCATTATCTACCTGAAGACTAAAATGAAACTCCTTGCAGCTTTTAAATGCACAAATAATAATAATAGATCAAATAAAAGTTCCTATTGAGGGTTATAGACAGCAAATAAATGTTTAATCGCAACTGTTTATAAAAAATAAATGATGGCCACAGGTGAGACGTTTATAGACTCAATTCTAAGAAGGTTATGGGACAAGGAAGTGTCTTCCGCGCTGCCCCAATACCTGTTGACGAACTTTTACTTTTCTTTCTAATATTTTATGTTAATATATATAATAATAATTTCTTAGATATACAGGTATCCTTACGATGTATTACTTCACCGCTAAGCACGTGGTCAATCAGCACTTAAAATTGCAAGTGCTGGTGGGAATCAAACGCGGGTGCTTCTGTACTATGAATATTACGGCGAGCGCTTAACCTCTGAGCTTCCACCGTTCATACACCTAATTAATATTTATCGAAAATGGTACATACTTCACAACAACGTACATGTTTCAAGTGAAAAAAAACCATTCATTATTTTGTAGTTATCTATTCTAGTATTTCCTACACATCGGACCTTTTTAAACTTCTCGAATGAACCATATAATAATAATAATGTCCTCCAGACCGAATTTCGGCCACGGCGGCCGGCCTCAACGGAGGCTAGCCATCGGCGCAGCACAGGATATATAAGCACAAGTGCACTCTCTATTCCCTAACTCTCATAACTCGATGGGAGGGTGAACCGACACGACCAGAGAGAGATCAGGCGCAGTACCAACGGCTTTGCGTGCTTTCCGAGGCACGGGGGTAAGACACCGCCAACTTCCTAACTCCGGGCAGCTACTGAGAATTTCTTGACAGAAAAACTCAATTTATGACTTTTTGGTCCGACCCGGGATTCGAACCCAGGACCTCATGATCAACAGTCGCACTACTACAACCATTAGACTAACGAGGCAGTCAGTACCATACATTTCAAATGGTGAAACCCGTAACAAAATACGTTCTGCACTTACGAAGGAATACGTAGACTTGTGTCTAAGACGTAAGTACTAAATTGATACATTTTAACGTTTAATGTATGGCATTATATTAAAGTGATATATAAATGGAATGGTAGGCCACAGTATAGAACTTTTATCTATATATTTTGTCACACTATTATATAATAAAGACAGATATATCATTAGTTCCTTGGACGCTCACTTACGCATACGCTGATGGTGACCACCGTGGGGTTTTAGACGGTAGAAGTAGAAGTAAAGTTTCCACTTACGAAGCGGAACGTATCCATGAGGGTTTCCCCACCATAAAAATGTTTTTATAGAGTAAGAGTGACCAAGAAACTTGGACTGTGTCATCCGATGTTAAACGAATCCTGACTAAGAATCAAAATGCGGGTATGTTGTCACCTCTGAGGACAAAAACTGAAGACTTAACTTTATCGAAAATGGTACACACTTCACAATAACGTACGTGTTTCAAGTGAAAAAAGCAATTTATTATGGTGTTCGTTGTAAAGTATTCAGCCAAAAAGAACTCTTTAAATTCATGATATTATATTATCCATTATATAGAGAAATCTTCAGAAAAATTTCCACGATGGTATCACAAGACATCAAAACGAAGAATCTTGAGATTTTTATCAAAACTAATTTTCGAAGCATATATTTCATTTTCTACTTGCGCAAATATTATATACACAAAATCGCATCAGCCGATTTCGAAAAAGGAGAAAAAAGGATTTTGTGAAAAAATTATAACCTAAACCTAAAAGTGGGAAAATAATAAATAAAGTTTTTAATGTACTACATGTGTCATGACGACACTGAACTTGTTGTACCTTGTATTTGTGTTATTCCTTACTGCACTTAAAAGGATCAAAACTTAAAATGTTAATAAACCATAAAAGCCGTCTTCAAATAAATAAAAGTAAATATATCATTTTCATATAACAGTTTCAGAACTCTTTGTACTTTAATTCTTCACTTTGTCTCAGCAGCAGCTTCGAAATTAGTGAAGTGGAAATTATTTTGTTATTTTACTTGTTACTAAAAGGTTTAATCTTACGTATCAAACTTAACGCCAACTCAATTTTTGAGCAACAATTCAGGAGCAATCACTAGTACAAATTAGTCATCTACGCATTTCATTGTTGTTCAACCTGAAACGACTGTAACTGAAATTCGGGAAATTTTATCAAATTTTGTTACGAAAATACGTTTATGCTTTTTCGTATATCAATTTAACGTAAAGTTTCAATCAAGTAGAACTCTTGCAACTTGCCTAAAATAAAACAAAACTAAACAATTTTTGTAAAATTGATCGAAATGAATCACTTATGACCAGCGTTTTCGTAAAAACCTACTTAACTCTATCTTGAGCAAATCGATAAAACACTACCGTCCACCTGCTGGTAAAAAATTGTTTTTGTCAAGACCACAGGACTAAATTGAGAGAGCTCGACAGTCTATTCAGTGACTGAGAAGTACTCAGATTAAGAGATGAATTTCAAAAGTATATTTCGCAATTATATTTGGCCCTAAATCCAAAAATTTCAATAATAACGAGATTACTATCTACTAAAAGGCAACAAGATTAAACTGCTTATGTTATTTAATCAAGTGTATCTATTATCAGCCTTACAAGAGAAACTGAAACAAGAGACTCGCAGTTCAGATATCCCACCTGTCCCTTTCCTATGGTAATCTATTGGGGAGGCCGACGTTTAGCAGTAGATTAAATGTAAAATACCATTTCATTTAAGAATAATTCACGACCTCAAATTCTTAAAACGGCGCGCTGATTAAAGACATGAATACGGATAGGTTCAGTATTGTACATTAATCGGGAGTTCTTCTATTTAGTTATCCCTCCTTTAAAAACAAAATGAGAAAATAATATCAACAAAAATAAATTGTTAAATTAAGTGCATAGTTTATATACCTATATTTTCTTTCTCTTCGTAGTTATTTTAAGACTGAACCATTATTTACATAATCAGGAAGTCGGTTGTGTACTGCTGAGCGTAATCAGCGACTTTACCTCACGGTATGAATAATAATAACTGTCGCTTGTATGACTTATCAGATGTTTAAATATTTTAAGAATGTAAATAAAACAGTTAACAGTGTCACTATATCTTAAATGAGAGAAAGCCTTTTTCCAGCCGTGGGAAAATTGTAGACCATTTCATTAAGCAGTATACAAACATTGTTACCTTATTCTTAATAACCAATATTTCTTCAGGAAAAAAACTGTCAGTGCGGAATCGCTATATCTACTAGGTGTCCCGTGGCTGTTCGATAGTATTAAACCCGTTTTAAATACAAAATGAGATCAGTTTTTCACGTTTGGCAGTTCACCACGTTGACAAATTGTATATTATCTTGTTTTATTGTGCGTAGATTTACATACATAATAAATAAATGTTCGGAT